ACAAATTGGGAAAAAACATAATATAAAATTACTAAACTACGCAAGTGTGAAACAGATAAAAATAAATAAAACTAATATATACGAAAGTAACATTATGTATGTGATAATACAGGACCATAAAAAAAGTTGCGGGTATTGGGTGTGCGGCATATGTTTTCCAGAAAACGACAGAAATTATAAGATTTTCATTATTATGCAGAAGAATTATGAGATCGGAGATTTTGTCTTTTTTTAAATTTGTTTCAATTTTTTGCCATTTGATCCCGAATTTTGATTTTAGATTCTTTCTTAGCGGTAAAAACTAAATTGGAAAACATATCCCGCACATCCAAGACAGACAACTTTTTTTTATTTTGTGGACCCGTGTAATCATTCAGAATAACAATCAATAAACAAAATACGTTACCAATATTTTTGTTTATTTTTATCTTTTTCATTGTTACATAGTTTAGTTATTTTATATTATGTTTCTTTTATTTTGTAGTCGACTGATGATGACATAAAATAACATGTTAAAACGTATGGAAATAATAAACATTTTATAAAGTTCTACAGTTTTTATTTGATGCAATGGCCTGAAGATTTTGACACACATATTTCAACATCAAAATCATCATAATAATTATATTAGAATTTATATTTTGCGCCCTTGTTTTGTGAAGACAACTTCAGAATGAACTTAAAAGAAAACGCGCAAAATGAACACAACTTCACGGCGATAGAAACATGAAATTCAGTGCAATAATTTGACAGTTATTGAACGAATTGAAGAATTGAATTATGTATTATTCAAAATTTTGTGCAATTGAACAATAGTTTTATGATTGCTTATTTAAAGGTGAAAGTTAAAAGTGAAATAAAAAAAATATTTCTTGTGAGATATAAACAAATATGTATAAGTGATTGCTACAGAGTGGCATTTAGAACAATGTGCACATGTAAAGGAATTTCTACTTATAACGATGTACAACTCTAAAAGAAAATAATTCATATAATTTGATATTTCTTATTATCTGTATTATTTTGGATCGTTAAAAGCAATTTTTTAGTGATACTAAAGTTTGATATAACGCATTAGGGTGAGTTTTTCTCGTTTCTTTATTTTTTACACAAAATGGCCCCAATAAATACAATAATATTCATTCACACAAACATTAGGATATTTTTATAGTGTTATGTTTGATATAGATGTGCAATTAACATTCCTATGCATGGAAAATGAAAGTATTTCAAGTTTTTTGGGTCAAACTATCATGAATTGTTGCGAATCATTTTCTATCTTTCGATTTTTTTGTGGAACAGCCTCTCAGGCTTATAGTTTGAGATAAACTTCTTAGATATTTTGAATCAAATTCATATTTTCTAAATAAGTATAATAAAAAACAATTAAACTAAAAGTTAAGTAGAATTTTCAACGACATTTATTAAAAATCATTTTTGATCTAATTTATTTTACTGAAATGTGCCTTGCTTTATCAGCAATTAATAAGTGTTTATCAAATAAACTGTTTATTTAGTTATTATAAATAACTAACTATTGATGAATAAAATCTAAGGTTAATAATTAATTCATCTTCTATATAAAAAATAAATCGGGTTTTCCTTCCTGATGAAATAACTCCAGAACGCACGAACCGGTTTCGACAATTTTGCATTTGCTGGAAAGGTCTCGGGCTCCGCAAGGTTTATAGCTAAGAAATGCCTTAATGCAAATTGCTGGAACTTCACGCACCGTAATTAAAATTTCGAGTAATAAGAATAATCAATAATTGTTTTAAATAATTGCAAATAGATTATCTTCTATATATATAAAAATAAGTCGGGTTTTCCTTCCTGATCAAATTTTTCCTTTTCAAATATAAAACAAACAAAAAATTTCTTCATTTTTCTCATGAAACCATTTGGTGGCGAAACGGAGTTCATCGGGTTTGCTAGTATTTTATAAAAATGGATTAATAATTGCGAAAAACTAAAACATAATAGAACGATTAATATATATAGTATTCCATATTCAAGATAAATATATATCAAATTGCAGATCTTTTAACAGAAATGCAAAATATAATGTTTTTTTCTAATTTGAATTATATTTCATAGGTTTAAATTTTATTAGTTAAATTATTAAAAATTGTCAAAGACATAAGGTTTTAAAGGCCGTTACAAGGAAATGCAATTCATATTTTTATTAACGATTGTAGTGAATCATGAGTATATTAAAAATGTAGCAAAAATAGTTAATTTTTACAATTTTCAAATTAATATTTTGTATTAATATTGTTTCATGACCTGATTTATGTTGTAAGTATTATATACCAAATAAATTATTTAATTTTTGATATAATTTAAGGTAGTTATGCCAAATTTAAAAATTAAATCTAATGCAATATTACAAAATTCGATGAGTTGCAAATAATATTATGAAAGAAATTTATCAAAGTATTGATTAATAAAAGTTTAAACTTATATACGGTTAACAAAATATTTTTTTTTTGAATCGAACTCCTGAATGTAATTTTTGTAAGGTTATATTTGACTAGATAAACAATGACAGTTGAATTTTATGCCCGTGGATATTAATTATATAGTTATAGTTATAAATATATAATTTCAAAACGAAATTGATACTTATATAATCGAATGAATTAAAAATTAACACCATCTTCCTTACTTGCCGCACAAGCAATTTTTGTAATACATACAAAAATCGGTGCCTAAACGTTTCAATTTGGACTAAAACATATATGTTACATATGATATTTCGTGTGACTGTTGCTTTGCTTGTATTGAAAAATTATATATTTAAAAAAACAAGATTTTTTGAAAACTATTTTTATTTTATTTATTGAGATGTATTAGTTGAAAATGGTTTTATAAAATATGTAGAAGTTAGATTAATTACTACCGCATTCAATAAAGAAAAAAGATTTCGGTCAACCTATTTTGACCGGTGACAACTGAAGGCGCACTCCCGGGCGCGATCCCACTACCGCTCGCAACGGGGGCTTTTGGCTGCTGAGTTTCCTCTCTGACCCGATTCGCCCCTCCTCAGACAACCTGGCCACCTCAGGCTCCCCTGGGGTCCATGTTGGTTGCGAGATTAGTGCGGACGCTCAGTCAACATGCGCTAATCAATTGCCATTGCCCCAATCTCAAGGCTTCCACGAAATCCGACCTCCTAGAGGCTTAGGATTACAAGAGACGCCACGCTCTCAGTCGAAAAGACCAAACCCAGCGCTCGTGACAAAATGATGAATATTAACAGATTACATTCTAATGGTATTCTAAAATAAAAATATTAATTGTTAATAAAAAGTAGTAGAAGAAGCTTCCTAGTTCGCAATTGATAAATTTTAAACGCATTTCTATTATAGCCTATCCATTTTACAAGTTACATCTTAAATGCATATAACGTATATAAAATGTGGTACTATCGACCGAGGGCGTGGCGTCTCTCGTAATCCTTGCTTCTGGGAGGTCGGATTTCGTGGAAGTCTTGAGGTTGGGGCAATGACAACTGATTAGCGCATGTTGACTGAGCGTCCGCACTAATCTCGCAACCAACATGGGTACCCCAGGGGAGCCTGAGGTGGCCAGGTTTTCTAAGGAGGGGCGAATCGGGCCAGAGAGGAAACTCAGCAACCAAAAACCCCCATTGCGAGTGGTGGTCGGATCGCGCCCGGGAGTGCGCTTTCGGTTGTCACCGATCAAAATAGGTTGACCGAAATCTTTTTATCGTAGGTACATTTTATTTGTTAAATGTGGTAATAATTATTCTAATTTCCATATTTTTATGAAACTATTTTTACTAATACATTTCAATAGAAGTAGATTTCACGGAAGCACAGTGCCTAAAATAAATAGTTTTTTAATAAGTATAGTTGTTGTCTAAATTAAAACACTAAGGTCCTAAGGTGAAAATTTTTTTTGTATTACCAAAATTGTAATGACGGTACCAAAAATTTATCTCAAAGCAAAACTAGTAATGTATGGCATCGCGCCTTAAGGTAAATTGCTGGAACTTTCCCTACCGTAACGTAATGCTCGAGGAATATTAAATGTTTTCAAATAGATTATTATACATACTGTAACATTGTATAATATTTTTTTAATATTATTTAAAGTATATAAGTGAGCTTTAAAACTTTAGCCAGAATTTGGAATTTTTTTTCCAAAAACAATTGTTTTGTCAACACAAGCAGAAAGGTTTTTGAATCATTCAATTCTGATGCTTATTTCTCTCAAAAACTGCTATTTTTTGTATATTTAGCTTTGTATCTTTGAAATGGCTGGGCCTGCCTTTGCTAAAAACTAATCAGCACATCTCAATAAATCATTCAAATCGGTTGATCCTTCAAAACGTCGAGATTTTCAATTTTCGATTTTCGGCCCATTACTATAACTACCCTACGGAAAGTTAATTAAATAAAAACTAGATTTATTATGAATACATAAATTTGTATAACTATTGCTTATATATCAATTTAACTAAATTTAACCTAATAAATACTAGAAATTCAACCGGAATTTATTGACTTTAAATATACTAAATTAGAAACTTCATAAATCTTTTGTCAATGTAATCTCTGTTTATACAGGTTCCGCAATTTTTTTTTAAATATTATAAAAAATACTACTGCATATTTTCTGTTTTTTTATTTGAAAGTACAATCTTTCAGCAAAAAAGTTAAATGGCGGATCCTATACATGTTTATATCCTGCAGAAGAATAAATTCATAAATTTAACTTTCGCGCCCTTGCATTATGGAGAAACAACTCAACACCAAGAAAACAAATTGTTTCTCTAAAGTTCACAGCGGTAGTGACACGAGGTTCAGTGCAATGAATGACAGTAATATTAATGTAACTTATTTGCAACCTTATGATAATCGTATTTATTTTTAATTACACACTGTTTTAGTGATTAAAGGATAGTGCGATAAGACTAAATTTATTTTCTTAAAAGTGGTCGCACATTGATTTTATATCAAGTGTTTTTATTTAATTTTATAATAATTATTTATATTAATTTTTACTCAATATTAATGAATTGCTATTCTATGTGGTTGATACAAAAGGGAAACATGCAGCAAGGTATTGTAAAATAATTTCTATTTAAAAGGGCGTATTTCTAACATAAATAATTTATGTGCTTGCAACTCTAATGAAAGTACATATTTTTTTTATAGAAACTAAAATTGAAATGGATCTTCTGAGGAAATGTATTTGACAAAGCATAAGGTGAGTTTTCATCTTTTATTTATTTTTTTCTGCACAAAACATGTTTAGTTAATATGACATTAAAATATTATCTAGTAAGTTATAAATAATTTATTTTAGTTTTTTTTAGTATAATAATTTGTTTTATAATAATATTTGTTAAATTGTTTTTGGTGTTTAAAGAAGTATATACAAACTGGTGCAAAATATTATCTAAATTTTGAAATTGTATTAAAATACAAAAAATTAAATTAATCATAAGTTAGGTAAAATTTTCAAAACATTTATTATTTTTGATCTATTCTACGAAAAGTTATGTTTTTCCTTATTAGTCAGCTAATAATAAGTGCTAATCAAATAAGTATTTAATTTGTTCGAAAAATTTATAGTTCAGTATAACTGAAGGTTCATAAATAATTTCTAGGAGAAGCTAAAATCTAATATAACGACAATCACAGCAAATCAACAATCAAGGATAATAGGCAAATTGTGGAATATTTTCTTCAGAAACGTGTTTTGCTGATATATTTTTGTTCCAGAATAATTCAACAAAAAATATACTTATAGCAAAGACTATTGAAAAAGTGTATGTCAAAATGACCCCATAAATATTAGAAAACGAAACCATATGATATTTTTCACAGTTTAAACATTTTATTCTTGAAGGAGTGTATGCCAATCTTCTGTACCAATAGTTGAATAAGCCCATTTCTCGTATTTTTATCAATCTGGAACATAAATGCAACAAACATCAATCATTTTATATAAAAAATATTTTTTTAGTTAGTTTCTAATCTAGCTGAGTGCTGTTTACTGAATAATTTTGATAGATAGTTTACATAATAGATCATTATTTCAAATACCTACCGATTGTTTAATAATTCTCTATAAGGAAATGTTTTTCTAACAGATGGATTTGTGACGTATGGAAATAGTCGAACACCCAGGTGTGTTAAGTTGCAAGCATATTTCCTAAATAGAAAAAGATATTATTAGAAATCTGTTGTAATAATAAATTGACATGTTATTAATCACTACCCATTATAATAGTTGTCTAGTCCTTTATTTGAAAATATTGCTACCAATTTTTTATGACATAGTGTTTCCATAAGGTATGACTTATTAAACGGTACGCCACATTCCACTGGATTTACCAAACCATCCCACTTTGGGAGGTAAGGTTCTAGAGGAGCCTTTAAGAAAATTTAGTAATTATTTTTGTTAACAATTTCAGTGAACATATACGAAATGTACGGGATCTTTTCCATGTCGTTTCCATGTTAAGCCTTATAAAACTTATACACGCAAAAGAACAATCATATTTTCATCTATGTACAAGTGTAATTTTTTCTGAATCTTAAAATAAATATAATAAATGAAAATGCGTTTGCATGAATAAAAAAAATTTAAACATACGAATTTAACTTATTTTTGTACATGTATCAAAAATATAAATAAAATTTTTAGATTTATTATGAAAATGTAAGGTATAATTCTCATAGCATACCTCTAGTGACTAATTTTAACTTACGTGATCAACTTTAAATGCTAAATGTGCAGATATATTAGGCTGGACACAAATTTTATACTCTTCCTGTTTGGCGATATCTTCTAAGTTGTTGAAAGGAAAGTTTGGCACAACTGTTGATAATTTTGCCACTAATGTGGCAGAGTAAAATATTATGAATAGAAATCCAAACGAAAATAATGTGAAACTCAGTATACGCATAGATGTATCTTCAGCATCTAGAACTGAATCTGATTCAATGGAAATATTAGAAGATGAATTATTAAGTTGCTTTGAATAAGTTTCTTCACATTCTTTTTATTGCTTTTAGTAGAAATAAATTCACCTCACTACAACCTAACTTATTTTCATTAATATTCTTAAATTTTAAATCATTATGGGAGTTACTCAAATGAATGTTTGCGTATTTCAATTTATTTAAATTTTTGCATTAGCCAAAAATGCACATTGAAAGTTTTAGTAAATATTATAGCAATTATTGTATTATAAGGCACTGTTTCGGAAACGAAAATGGTTATGTGAAAGAGCAAAAAGTATTTTTTGTTATAAATTTAAAACCCAACGTATTAGTTAAAAGTCTAACCTTTTATTACAATTAATCATTTTTTAAAAATCGAATTTATAAATCTGATTTTTATACAACTGTGCTTGTCACAACCATACCCATCACACACTTTTGAAAACAAATCATGGTAATGACTGAGCTAAATTATCTATGCAAAAACTAATTGTTGTTATTAAATAACTACTAAAGTTCAACTTACAGCAAAATAACAAACGAAGTGATCTGTTTGTACACAAGTAAATGTTATTATTAAAAGAAATCAAACCAAGAAACTTTTTTTGGCACTTTAAAAGCAATGCGGCCTACAGATTATGCTAATGTAGGGTTGACTGCAAGCAACTCCCTTTGCCCCCTATTTCAAAATCAGTTAAAATTTTATTTTTCATACATTCAATTTTTTTATTTTTATTTGAAATTGAAAATATGAGGATTTTAATATATAATACAATGATTATATATAAATATTTTGAGCACTCTGCTTCTTATTTTCACATATCGCAAATGCAGCTAACAATTAGTGAACTATTTGACTAACCTGTTTTCACACAGCTACAAATTTTTTTAATGATATTTTATTATCGACCCATTAAGAAAGTACCATTCTGGCAGTAATTCCGCGTCATCATCCTTTCAATTTTTGAAAATGTAAAAAAAAATTTAATAACTTGCTCCCACAAAGCTCAAATTTTGAGGGTGTATTCTTTTAACTGTTCCGAAAGAATATGTAAACGCGCAACATACCAGCATTACGCGCGGGTATACTAACTCTGGTTTGTTCAAATTTTCAATGTGTTCCACAAATTTGATGTGAACAATATTTGCAGTACTAAAAGAAAAAACAATAGGCTTTCGAATAACGCTAATAAGAAAGTAATTAAACAAAACGCACTAACCGAAAACATTAATTGAAAAATTATTATATTCTTTTTATCAAATAATAAATGATTATTTAGCATATATTAATATACATTATGTATTCTATGCCAATATGAGTAGAATCGCTTAATTTATTAACTTCCCGTAGGGCAAGTTATAGTAATCGCAAAAAAATCGAAAATGAAAATTTTTGCATTTCTCGACGTTTCAAAGGTTTCTGAATATTTTGGCATACCTTAGAAAAAATGGATGTATGTGTGTGTGTGTGTGTGTGTGTGTGTGCGTGTGTGTATGTATGTGCGGATACAAATTTTCGTCGACGATTTCGGGAACACCAATCAACCGATTTGAATAATTCAAAAAACACTCGATTCGTATTGATAAGGAGACGTGCTGATTAGTTTTTGGCGAAGTCAGGTCTAGCCGTTCCGAAGATACGGGGCAAAAAGTGCCGAAAACGGTAACTCAGTTTTTAAGAGAACGGAGCGTCCGATTTTAATAATTCAAAAAACATTTTACTTGTATTGACAAGGCGAAGAACCGGTCAAATTTTCATAAAGGCAGGTCTAGCGGTTTCGGAGATCTAATGAAAAAAGTAAAAAAAAATGCCATCTGGCGGTCAAAAATGATTATTAGACATATGCACATCAAATTATCAGATATTTTATAGAGATTTTAACAATAAGTATAATTTTGGTTTACATTCCTATGGGTTCCGTACCAATGTCTACGCGTTAGACGTCGACGCGGCGCTTACGCCGTTTGATATTTCGTCTTTATGCAGTTAAAGCAGTAAGATTGCTTTGAAAAAAAGTTTAGATCTTTCAAAATATGTCAAAATAAAAAAAACATTTTTTTTTCAAAAAAAAAAAAAATTAAAAAAAATTTTTTTTTCAAAAAAAAGTAATTTTTTGTCTAATTGTTTGTCAAAAATCTTATTTTTTCGAAGTATTTTTTTTTCAAAAATGTTAATCGTTTTTAAAAAAATAATAATTTTTGGTACGGGAAGTTCCAGCAATTTGCCTTAAGGCACGATGCCTTAATTGCCTTAAGACAGAATTCCACTTACAGCTAGTTTTTCGATATATTTTATGGTTACACCAAAAATTGAGTTTGAAAAAGGGGCCACTTTGTCATATTTTCAATGATATCTCGGCCATAAGGTGAGATACAGAGCTGAAGTTTGGTATATCGGATGTTTTCAAAGAGACCTTCAAAATGGCGTATAAATTATTTAAATACAAGGGTTTAGCCGATTATGTATGGCAATGCGCCCACACCCTTGCACGTCGTGACTATTATGTACTTGACTGGCAGACCCTTACAACCGTGAGAATGGGCTGGCTGTTTATATATTTCTTCTGAACAGTTAAAAGAATACACTCTCAAAACTTCAGCCTTGTGGGAGCAAGTTATGAAAAAAAATTTTTTGACATTTTCAAAAATTGAAGGGATGATGACGCAATCGCGGATTGACTGTCAGAATGGTACTTTCTTAATGAGTCGATAATAAAATATCACTAAAAAAAATTCTAGCTTTGTGAAAACAGGTTTTTCAAATAGTTCACTGGCTCTTATTATTAGACTATAAGTGGAGACTAATCGTAAATCAATACAATGGACATAAACCCAATAAATTAATATTTTTAAGCTGATTATTGATTTTATTTTTCCTATCAAATTTGAAACTTTTGATACCATCATTATTTTTTTGATAAGAGATTATTATTGTTTCTTGAGAAATTTATAGTGCTTTTGAAAAAGTAAATTGCCAGTCTTTATTGGCTGTTCATATATTGAAATAAAAATTAATGTATCTCTAATGTAGCAAATGACATAAACAAACAATTACCTTGAGTGGACACTGCTCCTAATACGTACAAAACGCAATCATCAAAGCTGCGTTTGATTTTTTTCTGTAAATAAAAGTCATTTATTTCACACATTTTCCAAACAAACAGAAAACAGGCTAAAACGAGAATGATATCTATGAGCCAGCAGATTGGCTCTATAGTTTTGATGTAAACGGCCGAATCCACTTGAATCGCTGGTTGTTCTAAATACATTTCATACCTGAGTGAAAAAAGAATATGATATTTAAGTTTTAGAAGACTATTAATAAATAAGTTCGGCTGTAATTATACTGACCACCACGATAATATTGGAACCATGTGTTTCCTGTGTTTTGGAATGTTCAAAGAAGGAGGTAACATGACATCAATTTGAGCATTTTCAATAGTGTCTTCCCAGATTTGTAACCTGTATATTTTCTTTAAAGATCTAAATTTGAAGAAAATTCGGTTACAATAAAATCTAATTTGAAAATTGTATATTAATTTTTATTCATTATATACTTATAGAATTATATTATACTTATAGAATAGTATGCGTGTGGATAACTCGAAAAGTATCAGATACTTACTGCTTTATTGGCAGTGAAAATCCGATGAAATGTGTAGATATCTGTTTTATCGGATTGCTATCTGACATTATCTGCATATTAATCTGTTTTTTAGAAAAAGTCCATTGTAAGGGGCTTGGTTCACTTCCACAAAATTACAAAGGTGAATGTGACTTTACTTTACTTTTTTCTCATAACCCAAATTGGGTTAGGCGGATGGTAATTGGTAATGGTAAGGAGAAGAGAGTA